ACGCGCGGAGGGCGGGCAAGTTTGCGGAAGGGACCGGTGTCCGACGAACTCGCGTGCCGAACGTCCGGGCTCTAGAATCACCGTATACACCGATACACATCAGCCAGAAAGAGGTGGTGCAGGCGTCCCGCTGGCTTGGTAGAACGGGAGGAGGCATCACAGCACATCCCTTTGGTGGTGGCCGTGCACACCGTCGTCCATGTTGGTGAGCCTGTAGGAGAGAGAATCTCACCAAGCAATTGCAATGACCTTCTCAGGTTTTTATTGCGCTGTAGGACCAATACATCTCATCATGACAGGACGACCATGGCACCAGCTAGTACGAACTTCCATGGCCACTTGGCCAGTTACAAACTACTTTCACTCGCTATTATTACAAGAACTCGGTAGAGTTCTAGCTAGATCGACGCGTTACTAGGGTTCAAGACGCAGTATTTTATTTCTATGTACAGTTGCACCTTGCACGACATCCGTTAGCTGCTAAGCTTTAGCTTAGAAGACAGGGCAAGCCAGTGACGAATCTAGGATTTTAGCTTAGGGTATGCCGTCTAAAAATTTTCATATACAATTCGATGAACCCTAGCAATTCAGTAATAATTGTAAATTTTGCAACATGACTCGGTAAATTCAAGAACATGAGCGCACCGTGCACTAGATCATCGCTGGCGGCCCACACATAGCGCAAGCGTCTCGCTGTCTCCCAAGGGCAGGTGCTCCCTCATGACCCCTGTGGTCCGCAGTCGGTGGGGAGCAGGATCAGCCCGCGCTTCTTGATACCATGTAGAAGAGAAATAGGAGCCAACAACATGTATTGATCTCAATGAATGAATATATAGTACATCGATGGAGGTTGCTATCTTTAGCAACTGTCCCTAGTCAAAGCACTATGTGTGCGTGTGGTGATCGTGGTGACCGCGCACTCTGGTGGCTGCGGTGACCGAGTCTATAAACTCAACACCACTCTCCCCACGCCGTACGCCCACCCGTCCTCCGGCCGTGCCACCTTGCTGACCACATACCACACCTTGAGCCGCGCCGGCCGCCGGGTGTGCAGCAGCCCAGCGGTCAATCTCCTCCCGCAGGAGCATGTCGTCCTCCGTCCAGTTTGCGTACACGAGGTGCATCTCGGTGTCGTCCTCGAGCTGGTCCCTCAGCACGGCCTGGATCACCTGGTACACCGGCGTGATGCCCGCCCCGCCGTCGATCATGGCGAGCCTGCGTGCTCACCGGCTCTCGCCGTTCACCACGAAGCTGCCGCGGTCGGCGTACTCGATGTGCCCTATAAGGCCCTTGATGTCAATGGTCGCGCGAGCGGCAGGGAGTCTAGGTACTGCGACATGAGACCGCCGCTGGGTACTTGGGGTCCTCGCCCTTGAAGTATATCTTGATTAGGAGCTCGATGTGGCAGACCTCGTCGACGGGGCTCATGGGCATGTACGCCCGCATGCAGAGCTTCACGTGCCTGCCGGTCGGCAGGCCGAGCTTCTGGTCCGGCGATAGCAGCGCGGTCCAGAAGAGGCGCACGTTGTAGGACAGGCTCTTCTTGTGGACGAGCCGGCACCTGACCTTCTCCCGTGGGTTGGAGAGCGCGATGGTCGACACTGGCAGCGGCGCCGGCGTGGCTACATCAGGGGCCTCGTCGATGGCCCTAAGATCGGCGTGGCTGTTCTGTGGGGAGTAGTCGTTGCCGGTGATAACGAGCTCGCCAACGCGGTGCATCTCGAGGAGGCCGCCGGCCTTGTCCGAGTGGATGGCGTCGAACTCCTCGGTGCAGTCGCGGTGCCGGCGTTGATGAGGATGCTGTCGGCACCGCCGGGGTGGTCCTTGAGGAATCCCGTGCACGGTGGCGTAGCGTGAAGCAAAATACAGGGAGGCCAATTTGCAAAATCTGAACCAACATGTACACTGAAAACAGAGTGCAAAATCCATTTTACTGCAACTTGATGTTAGGATTGGTTTGTAGTACCTTGCATGGTTTTCTGTTCATATTTTTCCTCAGCAGCTACGCATTACATCATTCCTAATATGCTGGAACTTCAGTTCGTAATTAATATTGTAACTATGACAAGAAAAAAAAGATTAACACCCGAGAAGCGATAATTAAACATTTCAACCACCACATCTAGTTCAAATGATGATATGATTTCAATGAAATAATTCCAGGGAGCTCAAAGTACGAATTTAGATGACAGTTACCATGGATTTTTCTTTTAACTCGGAGAAATATCCCAAAAACAAACGCAGATGTTGCATAGTTTAGTCTTCCAAACAGAACAGCAAAAGTCTAGCTGACAAGTGACCACATATCACAAGAAACCGTCACATTGAGTCTTAGGGCAAACATCAAGCTTCCTTGTAGCCAGTAAGAACCTGTGTAGAGACTTTTAGGAACATTTCTGAACATCACAGCCCACCAAGAGTTCAAATGTTGGATTGGAGGGTAGCTTGATCATCTGGCCGTCGCAAAAACCTCTGGATATCAAAGACTATGCGTTCATCGGCAGGAGTCACAAAATTAATGGCAACATTCTGGTGAGCCCACCCCCTATGTCTGTACCTCACAATGTAGGCAGTCAGCATCTGAATGCTAGTTTTTCAAATGAGATGTTAGATGAACATAGTCAACCTGCAGCTAGCACGTTGCTGGATATGCAAAGCCAATCTCTAGGTGGGATAACTGCTCAGTGTACACAACCAGTAGAACAAACCATCACTGAACCCCAGACTAGTGTGTTGCCGGATAGGCAAAACCAGTCACTGAACCTCGGACCAACACCGCAGATCCACAACAGGCCACGCCGATAGATGAGTAACTTGACTCAATTTCGACTCCGGTCCTGAAGCCTTTGTTAGCTCTGGATTTTCAGCACAATTAAACGGCACAGTATGAGACTAGCTCAAAAAGCGGTTGCAAATTCAGGAAAGGGGGCGATTGAGATTGCACAAGACCTTTTAGTCAGGAAATTGGGTGACCTTGGGGGCACAGATAATGCAGTTTCAAACAAAGACCCAATCACTGAAGATTTTTTTGATTACTATGCGCAGCACTTTGCAAGGCCTATGGAGAAGACCACGATGGGCGCCATCCAGAACCTCATCGAGCAGGGTACCATGATCCAGAAGAAGATGACTGCAGCTGTGGCCCCAGGGCCGATGGTCTAGGAGCCAAGTTCCAATTGTTTAATGGTCAATGTCAGCCCCGCTGGTGCTGGGGGCATGGGTTGTATGCCCATTGTATCTTCATCGAGTAGTCGGTAGAGCCAGATGTGGCACCAGGATCAAACTTTGGATTTCCTGGTGGATGTGCGCCTGCTGGCCATGGAGCCTTCGGCGTAAAACTTGTTATCTCCGGATTTGGGGGGAGAATTTGGACCTGCTGGCTGTGTGGCCTTCGGCCCTCCCCGATTATGTTGGTTGTAAGCTCTGGACCTTGGGGGTGAACTCCTGCCTGCTGGCTCTGTCACCTTCTGCCAACCTCCAATCAACTTATGGCTTCTTAAGTGGATGGAACCTAAATGTCAGCTAAGAACTGCAACCTACTATGCTGGAACGTAAGAGGTCTAAATGACGGGGGAAAACGTGCATCTGTCCGAAACCAGATAATTGCTACCGGTGCCACGATCGTATGCCTTCAGGAAACTAAGATTAGTAATTGGACCTGTAATCTTCTTGTCGATACGGTCAGTGCGGACATGGCCAGCAATGTGGCGTTCCTGCCCTCAGTGGGGACTTGTGGGGGTATCCTCTTGGTGGCAGCTGAACGTTTCTTCAAACTCGGCCAGCCCCAACTAACCAACAATACTGTCACAGCTAACATTACGATGCTAACTGAGAACAAGACATGGTCTATGACCCGGGTGTATGGACCACAAAGCGATGCGGACAAGGTCGCATTTCTTCAAGAAATTACAGACGTCAGCACTCGCGTCCTCCCGGCTTGGCTACTACTCGGCGATTTTAACTTAATCTTGAACGCGCATGAGAAAAACAATGCACGGGTAAATATGCCAATGCTTAACAGATTCAAGGCGACAATCGACAACCTCGAACTAGCAAGGATCGAACTCAGGGGGAAGAAGTATACTTGGTGCAATGACCAACAATCGCCAACAATGACAAGAATCGATTATTTCTTCGCTTCGGCAGATTGTTTAGAGATGTTCCCAAGAACTGACCTCCGTGTGCTTGCATCGCTGGGTTCAGATCATAGCGTCCTTTTCCTACAGGGTGATGTGATCATGGATTTTTATAGAGGCTTCCGTTTTGAGTCTCATTGGGTACACATGCTGGGCTTCCTGGACACGGTGCAAGAAACTTGGTACAAGACAGTGAACACGCAAGATGCCATTTTACGTCTCCATGTCAAATTGTTGCGCACAGCCAAATCACTAAGAAATTGGAGGCGTAAATCACTAAGTAGATGGAAGCTGAGCTGGGCCATCCTGAACCTAACCCTGGCAAATTTGGAGAAGGCACAAGAAGAGAGAAGTCTAACACAGGAGGAGCTGGAGTTTAAAAAAATATCTCAAGAATAAATCAATGGGTATGGCGGCTGTGCAAAAATCCAGAGCTCGTCAACATGCAAGATTATCCTGGATCCGGAGTGGGGACACTAACACACGGTTTTTCCAGCTGCATGCAAACATAAGAAAGAAAAAATCGTTCATTGCCTCTCTCAGTGGGGAGTCCGGTGTGGCTATCTCGCAGGAGAATAAATCGAAGTTGGCTTTTGAACATTTCTCCAATATTTTGGGAAAACCTAGTGTAAGAACCAGGGCCATTAATTGGACTGATCTCGGTTATGTGCGTCATGACCTGGAACTCTGGAAGACCTTGATGCCCCAATCACCACACAGGAAATCGAGTCTGTAGTTAAAGACATGCCGTCTGAGAAGGTGCCCGGCCCTGATGGTTATATCGGGTGCTTCTATAAAAAGTGCTGGTCAATAGTCAAAGATGATTTGATACAAGCCATCATGAGTTTCTTTAATCTCCACACGTCAAAGCTTAATCTGATCAACACAGCCAACATAGTGCTGCTGCCCAAGACACAGGATGCAGCATCACTATCAAAGTTTAGACTAATAAGCCTCATCAACAGTGTGGTGAAGATCATCACGAAATTACTAGCGAACAGATTGGCGCCACACATGAACGCCCTGGTCTCCAATGCACAGAATGCCTTTATTAAGAAGAGATGCTTCTGTGACAATTTTATATACGCACAACGGGTAATCCAATTATTGCATAAGAAAAAGAAGCCAACTCTCTTCATTAAATTAGATATCTCCAAGGCATTTGACTCCATTGGATGGAGTTTCCTACTTGAGGTACTTGAAAATCTGGGATTCAGCACTAAATGGAGAGACTGGATAGCGGCGCTACTCGGAACGGCAACGTCAAGAATACTGATTAATGGGCAGCCGACAAAAGAGATCAAACACGCGAGAGGGCTAAGACAGGGGGACCCGCTATCACCTCTCTTGTTCATCCTTGCTATTGACCCTCTACAACGTATCATTGAGGTGGCGGCAAATAGGGACATCCTGAACCCGGTTTTGCCAACGGCGGCGAAGCTAAGGTGCTCACTCTATGCTGATGACGCTGCGATATTCGCCTCACCAAGTAATCTCGAAATTGAACATCTTCATAGGATCCTAAATTTCTTTGGGGATTGCTCGGGTCTCAGAATTAACATATCTAGGATGGAAATCTTCCCCATCAGGGTTGAGAACAATACGGTCACCCATCTGCTCCAAAATTTCCCTGGAAAAATTTGCACATTCCCTAGCAAATATCTTGGCCTTCCCCTCAATGTGAGAAAACTAAGGAAAATAGATGTACAACCTCTGCTAGATAAAGTCGGGGCAAGGTTGCCTGGTTGGAAAGCGAGGTTTCTATCTTCGGCAGGGAGAGAGACATTAGTCAAGACGGTGCTCTCTTCTCAAACAATTTACCACATGACAGCTCCCAGAGCAAAAGTGGTTGATTAAAAAGATTGACCGACTACGTAGAAGTTTCCTTTGGAGGGGGGAAACGCCTGATAAAGTCTATTGGGGGACATTCGATCGTAAACTGACCAACATCATGTCTACCCAAAGTCAAAGGAGGTTGAGGGATCCTTGACCTGGAACGTTTCGCTCGTGCCTTACGGCTATGTTGGCTCTGGTTCAAATGGCACCAAAAGGAAAAAGCGTGGAACAACCTTGATTTACCGTGTGACACCAGGGACAAGGATCTATTTGCGGCATCAACGGTGGTAACGATTGGCGATGGCAAAACGGCCACATTCTGGACCTCCTCTTGAGCACAAGGAAAACCCCTCAAGACCTTGGCGCCAACGTTATTCACGAAGGCGAAGAGAAAAAACATTACGGTTCAGAAGGCTTTGCAGGATAATAAATGGATATCACACATCCTCCCCATCCTGACAGGGGAAGAAATCCATGAGTACATCCAGCTGTGGGAGACTGTCTAACATATTGAGTTAGATGCTGACAGGGAGGATAACATCGTATGGCGCTGGACAGCAGAGGGGGAGTATACAACCAAAAGTGCCTACCGCATCCAATTCGAAGGAATGTTCAGTAAACTCAAAATCATGCCGATCTGGAAAGCCAAAGCGGAACCTAAATGTAAATTTTTTGCATGGATGCTGCTGCATAAGAAGATCCTCACGGCTAACAATCTAGTGAAGCGACATTGGCCAAACGATCCCATTTGCAAGCTCTGTGGGAATGACCCAGAAACCCCCACGCACCTGTGCAAAGATTGCACTTTCACAAAGCATGGTGTGGTCTGTCCTGAAATCGTGGTTTGGCCTATCTTTCATCGACACCATCAGTACTAATGGCTCATTGCATAGCTACTGGCGCAAATGTCGAATGAAGGTAGACAAACCTCATAGGAAAGCTTTCGATGGACTAATGATATACTTTTGGTGGAATATATGGAAAGAGAGAAATAGAAGAACTTTTCAAAACAAGAGTTTACAGGCAAGAGAGGTGGCTTTCTTATGCAAAGAAGAGGTCGATCATTTTCAATGGGCAACAAGACCAAACGTGGAGACCAGCTAGGCTCTGTAACTTATGTAGTTTCCTTTCCCTTTTGGGTGTTTTGTTTCTTTCGTTCTCAAGTGGTATTCTGTTTTTTTCGGCAGAGTAGTGTGGTGTTTTCTAGGACCGGTGCAGTCACCATGGTTAAAAGTTCGTTAAGGTTGTAACCCTTATTCTTTTTTTCCTCGTTTAATAAAAATCCGGCAAAAGCTTTTTGCCGCCTTTCGAAAAAACTTTCAGTTTCAGAATATCTCCTTTGCTGCTGAACACGGCTGATATACTGCATCAGTTGTGTTGGCAGATCATAGTTGATGACAACGGGAACCTGCCCCAGATTGGTGCCTCGAAGGTCAGTGGAGATGAGAATACGGGATGATCCAGCCCTGAACTCCTGGATGGCAGTGTCCCTGCCAAGCTGGCTCATACCACCATGGCTAGCTGAGACAGCATAACCCTTGGCTCTGACATCTTGTATGAGCGACTTGACACCCTGCTTTGTGTTCACAAAGATGACGATTCGTGTGAACTCTAGTGTTTCGAAAAGAGCATACAGCTTTCCTAGCTTCTCTTCCTTCTCAACTTTGTGATAGAACTGCTTGATTCCGATATCCTTCAGCTCTTCATCTCTCGGCACTTTAATCGTCACATGCTTATCCATGAACCAGTGGCTAGTTTCTAGAGCTTCACTGGAAAAGGCAGCAGAGAAGAGCCCGATCTGGATTTTGGCTGGGAGATAGTGGATAATGTTACATGTCTGCAGAAAAGATGGTAGTCATAAGTAAGTTAATGAAGTATATGGGCCATCATATTGTAGCATGAGCATAGCAAGAGCATATATGGACGATGTGTTCTATGTTAGTATGGGTTTTTTTTATAGTGGCCATTTCATCGTGATTACCACAACAGAGCTGGTAGGTAAATGAATTAAAACTAACCTGGTCCTTGAAACCTCCTGTCAGTAGTTCATATGCTTCATCCAGAACAAGCATTCTAATGTGGTCTTTACACAATGCATCCCTTGCCAGCAAGTCAAGAATGCATCCAGGAGTTCCAATGACAACCTGAACTCTACTTGACAGAGTTTGCTGGTTCACGCGGAAACTCGTTCCTCCAGTACTAGTATAAGCTTTAACACCATGGAACTGACCAAGTACTTCAATAACTTTCTCAGTCTCATACATTAAGTCTCGCGTTGGTACAATGATCAAAGCCTGGCATTTTGCAGATCCATAATCAAGTCGCTGAAGAACTCCAGTGCAAAGAGTTACAGTTGTTCCAGACCCAAAGACTCATGGATAACACTCTGGCCACTGCAAAATGGGACAATTCCTATTTGATGGACAAGGGTAGGCTTCTCCAAACCTTAAATGAGATAGTGGATAATGTTGCATATCTGCATAGGAACGTTTGAATAAGCACAAAAATCGAGTCTAGGAAAAATTTCGAGTCCAGAAATAATTGTTACATATTGGCATCTCAAGAAAACAAATATAACATATGACCTACCGTATTGATATATTCCCTTGAGTAGGTTTTCATGAAGACCCATATCACTGAAACTGCCATATATATGGATGTCCTCAGTTTCAGTAACTTACTGCTGCTTACCTCTTCTTTTGAACACATGTTTGATAGGAGGCTTTGGTTTACCTTCAGGGAAATGTCAACACAATGATGTCAATCAAAAAAAAAAAAAAGAACCAAACAGTCCTACCTCCTACGTACTCAAAACATTCACCCACAGATGTTTATTACGATAAAACCTAGAAAAAAATCGTGCTTGTTTACCTTCGAAGTGCTCTTCTCCAATCATGGTTGTTGAACTTCGACCTACAGGTTGCACCTCTTCTGGTTTTGAACTGTCCATTGTTGTTTTCTTGGTGTTGGCTGTAGTGGCTGCTGGAGCACTTATTTTGTTTCCTTTGATCTCTCCTGCCAACCTTGACTCTTCAATGCACTCTGGCTCTTCCAGAAATATACTTTGTGAGGCATTCAGTTCCTTATTATGCTCCTTGTCTGATTCCTTATTTTGCTGTTGCATACCTTCTGCTTTGTCTTGTACTACTGTGACCATGACCAGTCTGGAAGACCTTCCAAGCGCAAAGTAGTATGAGAAGGGAGCACCATCAAGGCTTCTTAGTGCAATCTTCAGCCTAATAGGCTCCTTATCCCCAGCTTCCAAACTTTTCTCATCTACATCAATCAGCACTCCAAACGCGGAAGCAACTTGATATAAATCCTTCCAGTTTCTGTATATTCTTCGAACCCTGCGCACTAAAACCCACTCTTCAATCAACTCAAGACTTTCCTCATCGCCTTCCTCCCACCTTGTTACAGTTAAGTTTACCTCCTTATCATCCAGTAGTGTTTCCATCTTAGGATGCTTTAAACAACTTATGACATCATCCTCAGAGCTGAAAGAGGCCAGGAAACTCTTGCTGCATTCCCTCCTTGGCTCCCAGTCACCGGACAGCTTCCAAAACGTCTGCAGTTCAGATTTCAATATCCCCTGGTCCAAGTTACTGAGATTGGATGTGATCAAAACACAGTGATGGTAGAATTTCTCTTTCTCAACCGTCTCCTCTGAAGGCTGAATCATGGTAAACGGATATTTTGTAGCATAGCCAAACTGATGTGCCACAGTGGTATGATTGTATTTTATTCCACACTGCTCCAAATTGTGCGATGTATCATGACAAGCAAAACACCTCTTTTTAACAGATTGCTCTGGCATGGCCTTCTTTTCAGGACCCTTACTTTCCACAACTTGTGACGACATATGCCCTTCATTAGTCCTTGACGAAACCAGTTGCAGGCCTTCTGTCAGACCCATGCTGTAACCTACCACATATATAAACCCACGTAAGCAGCTGATGATCAGAGAAAACAGAAAGAAATCAGTGCTAAGCTGTAATAAGGAAAACGAGGGTAAATTTGTATATTATTATTCTCTAAACAGGTGAAAACTTTCTTTTTTTTTCTGCAGACATCCACCATCAATAGCATATATAATTGGAGAGATAACAAATGAAAGCTTATATTATCTCTTTTTTATTTCACTTTAATACAATGTCTCTTAATAGAAAGTGTGAGCTTCAGGATTTGGAAATATTGGGAAAACATGTAAACATAGTGATGGATATGCTTCAACCAAAATTGCACATCGTTTTTTCATCGGCAAACAGATTTCTATGTGCTCCCAAATAAGTCAAAGTCCACACAAACATCCTCTTGAGTACTTGATGACTTCGAACAAAACGGTGGAGATATATTGAAAAGGAACCCAACTGTTTCACAGTTCAAATATTATAACAGCCAAAACCACTCAAACACCTTCGTACTCTAATATCAGATTGAACTATGCGAATTTCGGTAACAGAACACCGTTACAATAGCACGCAACGCCTATTTAGTTAAATGCACCTCTAACATGTGAGAAAACATTAAATATCCACGTGGTGACATGAAAGCGTGCAAATATAATATGCCAAGTAAAGGAATCATCAATTGTTTCCATTCTAAAATAGCACCTTCGATATCGATGACCCAAAAACAAGACACTTAAATAGCCAACAAATTTCGTCCACAAAGAACCCCGTCATACGAGGACTGACTCCCACCGTTAGATCTAGTTGGGTTAATCTGCACTATCCGATTCCAACGGTCGAGGCTTGACCATTAGATCTAGGTGGGTTAGTTCACGCTATCCGATATATATGATTCCAACGGTCGAGACTTAGACCGTTAGATCTAGACGGGTTAATCCGCGCTATCCGATTCCAACGGCGGTCAGGGCACCGAGCTTCCATGCAAGGATGGCACATACACCACAGTATGAGGGTAACAACTACGAAACCCCCTGCCATGATCTCCTCCAATGCAATGAACGAAAGACATGAACAGGAACAGATTACAGATCCAATGGTCCCTATACGCAGATATATCAAGTTTCATCGTGCTTGAATCAGTTTAAGCATACAAAGACCAGCATCGCTGGCTCGCTGCCGGGAGTGTCGAACCCCAGGAATTCACGTGTAGGTGCAGACGGTGGCCGGTGATGTTGGTTGGATATGGTGTGTTGTGCCCTAGCCCACCGAGAAACGAAAGAAAGACGATCCTAGCTAGCTAGCACGGCAAACAAATCCGCCGATCGATTAAGTGGCCGAAAGGAACTAACGTGGGACGATCGATCGAACTCCTAGGCTAGAGCAATAGTACATGGGAGCATCGGGCTCTTTATTTCCTTACTAGCAAACCAGATTTAATCCAAGTGCGGCCGGTGGGCAGCGGCTCTCCGCTCTCTCCACTCCCTGCGTGTTGTGGCTGCAATTAGGGAGGAGGCGGATCGGAGGACGACGGCTACCCAGGAGCGAGAAGGATTCGACCGATCTATTGATCGGCAAAGAGAGGACCAGGATCGCCCGACGGCGGGGGCGACTATGGTCGCTGCCGTTTCGAGATCGCTGAAATGGAGGACGCCGGTTTCACCGGCGCTAATATATATGCCAGCAGGGGGCATTTCGGTCACTTTTCACAGTGCGAAAACGAGGGCGGCATTTCTCAAAATCGGCAATATTCACGTTGGAATTCTCAAACTTCCAACACCCCCTCCCCCCTCTTCCACGACAGTATGAACCACATGATCGGCAGCGAGTCTTGGATGTTTGTTTAGTTTTGGGTTTATGGTCTGATTTGATGATGTACACATTCGAAGGCCTGGTGCAAATCCATGATGGGTGAGGAACACAAAATAAACCCCAACTTTATGTTTGCCTAATAACACTCATAAAGGGATAAAATCTGTAAGTAAAAAAAATGAGGGTTCAAAGGGCCATTCTCTCATGCACTTGAGAGTCTCTAGTCTTTATTCGATTTTTTAAAGGCGGACTAAAAAATAATACAAAAGTAAGAGAAAAATACAATGATAAAAACTGCAAACAACAATTTGTATCTACCATTTTCTAGTGTAGCATACCACTTTGCCACAAATGTCATGTTTTCCATTCTTGAAGGTAGATATATCTAAAGGGGCTTTCATTTTCTTTAAATGCAATAAATGTTACCAAGCTCCATCTAGGATGGATTTATGAGTGTTTGCTACGAATTGCATTTGAACAAGCTGTAAGAGTTTACTCATTTCTATGTGTTGGTTACTCGTATGCATACAATTCGTAAATTGCAAGTGCACGGTGACATTGTAGATTTTCCACAAGAGTATTCCATGGTTTATATCGTATCCACATGGATGGATTGCATATGTTATAAGGGTAAACCCCATCAGAAGATAATAGTAATGAACAGAGGTGGATCACATCACTGAACATGAATAAGAGGTAAAACACAACCACAAGTAAATAAAAGCCTATCATGTTCTAGTTGTAATTCTAGTCAATGAATAAGTTCATTGATGAATCTCATATATTGCATCTTTAAACTAATACCCTATGGTCTACCCTAAGTATTGCCCATTTATTACTTAGCTCAAGACCTATCGCATCCCTGCTATTTTATCTGAGGTCTTCCAAGGGAACGACCACATAGGATCACTAAGGGAGACATTCCTACATGTATATAGCTACCATGGAGGATCATGTATATTAGCAAAATAGACTAACCTTGCATTAGACTAAGGAATGAAACAACCATGCATGATAGCTAGAAAAGCATAAAAAGGAGGCATTAAGTTGCTAGCAGATTGGAAAGCATGATGAGCTTTACTCAATCAAAGTTGCATACATCATCACCACTGAGTACACATATACCACCGTTGATGAATGCTTGGCGGCTCTAGAACTCTGCTATGGCTTGAACCTCGCAGGATGATGATGGCGGCTAGGATCTAACCTAAGCCATCTCCTAGAAAATCCCAAAGACTTGCAGAGGTCATCAACTCTATCTTGTGTCTATCCCTCTTCTAGTCTTCTTGTTGGGTTGTGGTGGATGAATGCGTCGAATGAGCAGAGCGGAGGACATCTATAATGCAAGGAGGTTGTAGTTAAAGGAAAGGCAACTGAGCGCCAAAATAGATTAGGTTGGTTGGCCTAGCTTGATTCCCATGTCATTTGCTTCCATCTTTGAGTATGTCCATGATGGCAGTTTTCATAATCTTTTAGGTCACTTGCATGTAGGTCCTTCACTTCATAATATTTAGGAATTGGCCCAATAGATAAGATTGATCATCTCTTTCCAATCTTCACCTGATCCTATCTTGAGATCTTTGAAAAATTCCCATGTGCCTATTTTCTTCATGTTTAAATAATCTTCGCGTGAGGTCAATTGCATGTGAATACTCTAGGATCACGGGTTGGGCTATGGAAGCCACATACCGCATCATTATTGGGTCATTTGGGCCACTTTTTCTAGGCTGATTTTCCCCAAGCTTGTGCTTCTACATGGACCTTGTACAAATCACTCCATTGTAATGAAAAAAACAGCACATTGGTTTGGAAATGTAGTGTTTAAGGGATAAAATAAAAAAAAGGTAAAAAAGACAAAACAGATATGTTTGATAGATGCAATTGGACACCCTCAATCAGCCATGGCCTTTTTCATATTTGTTGGCTTTCATTTTAATAGGGTGAGGTAGTCTTACCCGGCCCCCTTGGAATGTTTTAATAATAATACATCATCAACTGTTCTTAGAACTGACTAAAATCCGACATGCTTAGTAAAAATCGAACTCTGCGATGTATGCAGGGTCCTCCAGTTTTGTCGATCGTGGAGCTTTCTGGTTGCCATATCTCTTTATTAATTCAAAGTCAAATAGGGTGATCTCTCGATGTGAGCTACACAATGGCTAAATCGATTTAGTAAAAGGTTTTATTATCCCGGACTAACCATTATCTGACAATTCTAGTCGCTTGCAATAGTATGTGTTCTCTCGTTGATAATTTTAGTCAAATAACAATATCAAAGATTATATCTTGCATACTTTCACGAGGAATTTGCTTTATTTGACGTTGCTGGGAGTACAATTTATGTGCCCATTCCTAGATAATTTCCCATTGCTATCTACTAGCTGCCTAAATTTTAGCGAGCAACTCCAAGAGATTAGTTAAAAATAGATTCCCAAATCTATAATTTAGAGCATCTCCAAGAACATTTCTACATCTCACTCTCTAAATCAATATTTGGAGAGCCATTTATATAAAAATCATTTTCTATATCTTTTCACTCTACAACAGTTTTTCTATATCTCATGCGCACTCTAGAGAGCCATTCTCGTCTTCTATTTTTGGCTACCGAAAAATCTGGAATAGAAGATGGCTATATTTGGATGATTATTTAGAGAAGCTGTTGGAGGATAGTTTTTCACCAAAATCTCTATTTTTAGCATTTATAAAGGATATGAAGAGTCTAGATGCTCTTATCTATCTTCTAAAGTAAAATCTTCTAAAACAACATGTGTACTCCAACAGCCTCGGTAAACATGTGTACGTGCAGGTCTGCAGGAAGCAGAATAGGAGAAGGTGCGTGGGAAGGGAGACGTCTCGTGCGGGAAGATAGGGCGGTATTTTCCAGTAGCGAGCGAGATTGCCTGTCCATTTTTAGTCAGCAATCTCTACCGAATGGACAACGAGTAAATTTGCAAACGGGCCTAGAGAGTCTGTTGGAGATGATTTTGGGCCCATACTCGCTATATATGGCTCCACGGATCCTTTTAACTAGTTTGTTGGAGTTGCTCTAATTCGACTAGCATTTTAAGAGGATTGTGGCCTGAGAGAAGGAAAGTAACCCAACATGGAGTACCTAAATATGGGGGTAAATGGCTCTTGCTAAGATACCAATATTTTCTAACTTTAGCAGTGGTTTGATAGAGATTTAATGGGATCA